AAAAAAAAAAAAAAAAAAAAAAAACACATCATAGTAAAACCAATACCTTCTCAGCTTCGCATCGAAGCTAATAATAGATTTACAGCCACAAAATATCTTAAAAGACTCATTCAAAGCATCGCTTTTACTTTTTTTCGCTGAACTTCCTGAATCATTTTCAAAAATTAAAAATATAGCTGCAAAATACTTCAGTATGTTTGGATCCTCTTACGTGTGTGAACAGGCCTTTTCTCATATGAAAAATATTTAAAATCCATACCGTTCACGCTTAACTGATGACCATCTCCACCATATACTTAGAACCGGCACAAGTAATTTTAATGTGGAAATTGAAAAAATAATAAACAATATCCAACAACAAAAATCCCATTAAGCCTATTAAGCAGTTGTAACTTCCATACTTTTATATTATAATTATATTATTAAAAACTGTAATTTTTATGTTCTATTATTTTAAAGTTTTAAACTCTTTTTAATTTATGAATGTGGCCCGGGAATCTAAAAAGGTTGCCAACCACTGCTATATAGAGTGATCAATTTAAGATAAGACACTCATTTTCTCAGATACTATTAAATATTTTCAATCTTTATAAAGGAAAATATTGTTTGATTCAAAAAATTCTACAATATTATGTAGTTCAATAATGTTTTTTCAATCTCTATAAGTATGAAATACTTTAACTTTAATACCAGAAGCATCAATAATCTGTTTCAATGACCTATATATTATCATTTTTATTTTTACTATCATTAGTAATAGATATAACAAATAAATTGTCAAAAAAAAACCTGTTTATGTCACAGAATAAATAATGACTACATATATCAAATTATCAATAATAAATTTGTGAAAAATCACTAAACTTAGTTTAGTTAAACACAATAGCAAAAAAATGTTTAATTTAATAAAAAATATAAGAACGATATTTTTTATCTATCATACCTATTTGAAAAAAGTAAAAATTTTTTAATCAATATTTTCTTTTGAAAATTAAGAATTTTCAAAAGTTTCCATGAAAATGAGTGTCTTATTTTTAATTGATCATCTCGTAGATATATTTCCATCTAAAGTTCATTGTTTGTTTGATTCTATTCAATGTTCTATTATTTATTACACTGTATATATTATTTCCAGATTTATCATAGAATAAAAAGTGGAGAATATCAAATGGAAGAAGGTTGGGATGGTATTAAAAGTGGGTATTCCCATCATTCAGCAAACATAGACTTTAATAACTATATTGAAGCTGAACCAGCAAAATCATGTTGCTAGCCTTTCTTCTATAAACATTGACATACTTAAAAAGTATTATCTCTACACTGAGATAATGGTGTTTTTTGAGAAAAACTTAGCTTTAACAATTTTTGTTTTGACAAGTTTTAATTGTAAGAATAAATGTAAAGAACTATTTAGAAAAATGGTACAAAAGACTAAAATTTATGATTTATTTATATAGACTTTTATTGATATTACATGTTAATAGATTTATAATTTTTTTTTGCACATATATTTTTTATAATGACTATAATTTCTAGGCTTTATATGAATTGTATTAATTATATTTATGAATTATCTTAAAAATAAACTAATAAAATACTGACAACTATACACTATTTAATTATTCTTTTTTGCTTATTTCCTAATGCTAGTATACATTTTTTTACAGCTTCTTGACATAAATGATAATCCTTAAATGGTTGTACTAGGTGCTTGTGAAATAATGTCAAGAGAGATGACAATATTGGTAAAGCCTTTAGATAATCTCCATTACCCATACAAATTTTTGCTTCACTAAATAAACTTTCAGTTTTCTGAAATGATAAAAATTTTACATTATATATTTTTTTTTATTAAAAAAACAAAAATTTTAAATATACAGCCAATAAAATGTTTAATATAAAATAAAAAGAAACGATTTGTTTATTGGAAAAATTGATTTATTTTCTTAAATGAAATTTTATTTTTTTAAGTACTTAAAAATGAATAATGAAGTATGAATAATCAACAATAAAAATGTCATCTTATTTCTGTCAATGTTTTATTGTTGTTTTTAGTCTAGCGTTTGTTGAACTTCAAAATAAAATATATATATACCTGTAGAACTTTTAAATCTTCAAATAAATTGGTGGATTTAAAACATATATTACATTTGGCAGTAAAATCCATAGATTCCGAAGAAATAGTGATTGCATTTTTACAATTTGAGCATTTAATTCTGAGTGATCTGCTCATTTCCATTTCATTATACAATGGCCAATCTTGAGAACACGCTATACAATGACATTCAAACCAATACCTATTTAATTTACTTATGTAACTATATAATCTAATTTAACTCTGATTTACAATTAAAATATATATTTTTATTTTCTACGAAAATAGTAATTACTTTATGAAGATATCAATTTTTTTCATAATTAAATAAGTATAACTTAAAAAAAACGTATTATATATATACGATGTTTTAGTATTAAGTATGAAAATTTAATTTCGTATGAAATATATCAATTTTTGTTTAATTTGTATCACCGTTTTTTAAGTGTATTCTGTCGTTCATCTTTAGTGTGGAATGCAAACATTGGTCCATAATTTTCCGTTATAGGATCATCAACGTCTAATTCACGAATAGTCTGTACAATGACACTAGTACCTTTGTGATACCTATAAAAATGAAAGCAATATACGTAGTATTTTATACTTCACTTATTTTGATAAAAATGAAGTAGTATGTGATTTATCACACACCATTTAAAAATTTAATACATACCTAACGACGCATGGGTTACAAGAATGATTGAGTAATGCAAGTGTTGGATAAACAGAGCCGCCGATAAAAATTGAATGTTGATCATTTCCACTAGAATCTTGTATTTCTGAAACTTCGAAAGCGTTAAATTGAAGAAGTTCAAGATGGTGAAGAATTAAACTTCCTATGAAAGCTTCATCGTCAGTTAAAAATTCATTTTCATTATCATGTTTTGGAAAGTAATTTGTCTTTTTCAAATTCCACAAAAAATATGTTGCGAGGTGAGCTCTATGTAATATATCATGAATAGATCTTGACTCACGATGAGTGACCAAACTATACAGATTAATATAATCATTGGGTTCATATTTTATACTTGGTAATTTAGATTCCTGTAAAATTATACATTTGTAAAAATTACTTTATTAATTTTGAATTTTCACACTTCCAATTACCTGCAGTTTATTTAAATAAAATTCAATGCTAGTAAAGTATTTTAATGGTTTTTGAGTTATGATTCGAAGAGCAATTAAACAAGAAATTGATATTTCATGTGAAAATAATGTTGGCATCATTAAACATTCAAAAGCATGATATGATTTCATAGCAACTTCCTTACATGATTCATCACAAAACGCTACATTACTACAACCAGGGCAAGGAAGTGGTGCGATTAACCTGAAAAATCCAGCAATTTTAAAATGCGTACTTATCAAACTTACTAGTACTGTACTAGACAACAAAAAACTAAATCATCCTTTTAAAAAAATTCAAAATGAAAGTTAGGAAATTAGTACTGTACAAATATTGTGCTATAAACACTTACTTATTAAAACAATTGGTACAATGTGAATGGCCATACTTTTGAAGTAAAACAGAAGCATAGGCCTTTTCAATAAGAATCACTTTACCTACAGGGATATTTCTGGAAGCTCTAGCATGCCTTCCTTCTAATGAGTTATATTCTATTTTCATTGCATTTGTTGCTGCTGGGTACAAATCATTTGGAGCTCCATATAACTTATGACTATCCTTATTATTTTTTAGCTCAACATCTATGATAATAAAAGGCTTAATAAATATTATGTTATCTGTATTTATAAATACTGTATTATTTATTAATAGAAACAACCAGTGTCACATACACATGAATATGCGCATATATATAATATATTTTGCAGTGTTGGGATAGTTCCTTTTTAAATGGAACTCGTTCCGTTCCCCGTTCATTTTCTAAAATATGAACTCGTTCCAGATCCTAGTTCTTTATATTAAGAAGGAACTTGTTCCAGATCCAGTTCCTCCAAAATAAGAACTCGTTCCACTCTTCGTTCCTTTTATGTAACCAAGTTATTTAAAAAATTGTGGTAATGAGATCATGATAACGGTCATCAATGATTTTCATCAGCAGTCGAATACAAAACAAANTATTAAAATGTACAGGAAAAATTTTCTTTTTGTTTATTATATTTCATATTATTATGAATTCATATGTCATAGACTTATTAATGTTTTGACTAGGAATGCATGATATTTTACGAAGTTAACATGACCTTGAAAAATATGAGGTTTAATCAAAATATTAGTCAAGTATAATATTCAAGATATTTAATGTATTATCATATGATTTCATCTTTAATATCTAAACATTTCGTCATTTATACTGCAACAGTACGGAACTCAAAATTTGATAAAATTAATGTCTTGGAATATTTTTTTATATGTCTTTTTTGCGAGACTCACAGTTTTATTGTAAGTTGTTCAAAAGTTATGTGTGTAGCCGGTCAAGTTCCACATAGCTCGGATTGGCATTACCCCTCTCAATGTAATGACAACAGTCGTGTCCGGCACTACCGGTACCTTGCTGTCACTACGTCTGTGTACGCGGTTGAAGTTATACCGCATCTTTTGGGTCTGATGACTCGTGGCCAGTGAGCTGGCGTTTTTTAATTTTATTCTATTGTTTTTTGGTTGGTATTGACCTGTTTAGGCGACAACCAACAGTCTATATTACCCGTTACATGCTATTACGCGAGTGCACAACTGAAATAAAGCAGCGGAGGTTGACATTCCATACGTAAAAGGAATAATTAATTGGGAAGCGTTTGGCAGTCAATTCAACGTTAATTACACTATGGACGGCTGATGGCTGAGTGATGTTTTGTTTTGTTTGTTTTTTACGATTATTATTCTAATGTTAATATATTGATATATTGAATATTTATTAGTTTGTATATATATATGTATAATAAAATTACTGTTTGGAATTAATATTATACGATTGTCAAGTAAAACCCTCCGATCCGTCATTTATGTTAAGATAATTAACTTAACGTTAAAAGTATAATGTCGTGAAATAATTTACTCTGGGAATTATAAGTTTCGTTTCAATATATTTTTACATAAGTTATGTAATTAAATACAAATAATTATAACCCCTTGTGGTTTATTAACCACAGCTAAGATAATTGAAGTTGTATATAGTTGGTTTGTAAAACATATCGTTTCCCTTGTTTAGATTATTGAATGAAATAAAATACATGAGAGTTATTTAGATACTCTCACATTACAAAAAAAGTTAAGTTTAATAAGGAAATTTAAATTAACATACGGTTTGATTTTAATTGTATTTATTCTCCCTGCTTGTCTCATCTTGTGTTAGTTTTAGTAGTTAGTGGCAGAAATAATGAGCTATTGATACTATTGTACCGAAAAATATGTTAAAAATATAGATAAACATACAACTACAAAAATTATAGACCTTTAAATTTGTGACGTTACAAATGGTCGCTGATTTTAAATGTAAAATAAGTTCTTAAAATCATCTTAATTTAAGAGTATTAACGAGGCTACATTTTTTATGAATTATATGTTTGTAAAATCCGCTAATTTTTCTTCACTGTATGTTTGTGTAGCCTCAATAAAATGTTATAAATATTATACATGCGAGTAGATGCAAGAAAAAAATTATGTATATCATAGACAAATTGTTCATTAAATGTATGATTAAGACTTAGCCGTTAATCCCCAAATAAATTTACTTTGCTCGCCCCTTTAAATAATAAATGTACACTTATGACATAACATACCTTTTTTAGCATTTTTATCTTGGGAGAGCATCGCAACCATAATTTGAACATCCAGCTGCCATTTTCGCCTCTTTTCTAGAGATAGATTCGAATCATCTAATGTCTGTAAAGTCGCTTTAAATGATTCAAGTGCAGATTTCAAACGATTAGTAGCTAACAGACATTTAGCTTTCCTAAATTGTTTCACTATTATTATTATTTTTTAAATAATTCAACTATATATTATTATTCATTAACTATAAGTTACTGTTCCTATCGGGCAAGAAATTTATTTTTAACTGTCATACTAATCCTAAGTTAAATGCCCTCTCTATTATATCCTAAGTTTCATCCCTACTTTCTAACCTTTCATAGACTTTATATCGGAGCTCATTTGGATATTCATGTTCAAATGCCCTCTGGATATCTGCAATTGCTAGATCATAGAATTTCAAATGGTAAAGACACGCTGACCGGTTGGCATAGAGAATTGATAATTGTTTCAGCCAATCTATAATACAAGTTAAAAGTAAGAGTCTGAATTTATATGAATTTACAAATTTTATTTGAGAACTGCCAATTACAAAGTCTGGAAGCACTTTAAAACAACGTATAAAAAAAAATCTTTCTTCAGAAGTAGGAATTCTATTTTCAATAGTTCATTGAAAGTTGAAGTTGTAGCTGCATATATATTTAGACTTTATGGATTAAAATATGAAGAAATATGTTATCTTTTAAGTACGAGATAATATAGAAAAATTAATTAATTACATGGTTAAAATATTGACGATTATAGACTTAAATTTTAATATCTTCAAATAAATAATTCTTAGAAACACTTCATGTATTAGCTTACCATTAGTAACTTGAGGACAATATAAAATCGCTATGCTGTACCAATGTAATGCTTGAATATTATCTGATTTTTGAAAATACTTAGTGCCTGTTTTTTTAATTTCCAACACTTTAGTACCATTTTTTCCAATAGCCCGAGATTGTTGTGATTCATCTATATCAATTTTTATGCTTTCATTATATAGACGTTCATAGATATATTTAATCTTATCTTTATCATTGAAAAAGTTTGAAAATTTATCCAAATCCTCAGTGTTTAAGCTGTCTCTAAATTTAGTATGTTCATTTAAAAATGATTTATGCATTGCCACTGATAACTCGTTAAATCACTTTCATACAATTTACACATGAGACGATGAATGAATGGTTATCATGCAAACAGTCCTCAAATTATTTTTAGAAATTAAAATTGGAACTTCTCCAACCAATAGTAGTATAAATTTTGTATCATATAATAGCCTATGTAATTTTTTAGAATGCTTAACACGTGGTTAATATAATATGTTAAAATATAACACAATATTAATTCCACTTCAAAAAAAAATATATTATTTCATTATCTAAGTTAAAAAATAACTAATGAGCATAAATTCTGAATTTTTTTTTTAAGTTAATTAGTTAATTAAATATAATAGCTTAGAGAATAATAGTCGTAAATCCTCTTTTTCTAAAAATCATATTTTCAGTTTCATTAGGTAAAAAAAATTATCTTTTTTATGGTGTATACAATTATTTACTTAAGGTAACGCATGATAATCAATAGACTATATCAATAAAACTTATAAAATATATATAATAATATTAACTTAAAAACATTAATATGAAACTGACAATCTTTATAACTTTTAATACAATTATCATTTTGTTGAAATAAAAAAAAAAAAAATAACTATTGCTCTCTTAGACTAGAGTTTGAATGAATATTTTAGGTTCGATGCGAAGCTAAAATATTATTGTTTTACTATTTTGTGTTTTTATTTTTTTTTGTCTGTTACCACATTTTCTCAGCTTTCACCGAACCGATATCTTTCAATGATACGTCAAAAGATCACAAATTGTTTCTACTTTCTTTAATCCTACACTAAATTAAAGCTATATAATGCACTTAAAGATGAAAAAATTAACTTTTTTTATATATCTAGAAGATATTGTACATTAAATCCAATTAACATAGCTTTCAATAAAAATAGTCAAATATCTACACTATACAAAACTAAATCAAATTATAACTTATTTAATTTATCTAATTTTAAAGTATCTTTATGGTTTTCAAAAAGAAAGACGTGATTTTATAACAAAAGACAGGATTAAAATGAAAAAACTATGATTTTAATGACTGTCGGATCGCATTAAACCTAAAATAACTTTATATATTATATNCACAGGGGGGGATTTAAAAAGACAACTTTTTCACAAAAAATTAACTTTTTCAACTTAACTTTTGAAAATGTTCCGGAACGTCTGACACTTTTATATATATCTTAAATTAAAGCTAATGTAATATACTTTAATTTGAAAAAAAAAAATTTGACCTCTGGACTTGTCTTCATGGTGAAAATGGCTATCGAATGCTATTTTTGTGTGAAAATTCTCGATTTTATNAAATGTTATTATTGTGTGAAAATTCTCGATTTTATTTTTTACATTTTTAACTTTATATTGCTATGACATATTGAAAAGTGTATGGATCAACATTATTTTTTTATGAGAAATAATATTTTTTAATAATCCCTTTTTCATTCTACATACTTTATCTTAATTAGGATATTAATAATGAACTAGCAGATAGCTTTTGGAATAGTCCACCAATTTTTTAAAATAAAACAGTATCTAAAGATTTGCATCGAAGCGTTTTTTTTTTATAGTGATTTTAATCACTGTCAGATATCATTATACTTGATCCATCTATACCACGTCACCACTGTGCCGCGACCCCCCTGTGCTGGGTTTTTNACATATTAGCCAATAAAGTAATATAAATACCATTATTACGTTATAAATAAAAAAAAATTAATACTTAAGTTGTCCGAGATTATTTAAAACAATCATATATCAACAAATATTTTTTCGTAAAACATTCTTACGCATAAAATATATGAAAAATAGTTTGAAATCTAATTTATAATACTTGACAAAATTGAATGTAAATTCTTAAAAAATAAATATACGTTTGTGCGCAATGTATAAATAATTTATACACAATTATTGTGTTTTAGCTTTGATGCGAATTAGAGAATTTAATTTTACTATGATGCATTTTTTTTGTGTCTGTTACCAGACTTTCTCAGATCTCACCGAACCGATTTCTTTCAATGATACGACAAATATGTCATAGCATTATAAAGTTAAAAATGTAAAAAATAAAATCGAGAATTTTCACACAATAATAACATTCGGTAGCCATTTTCACCATGAAGATAAAATAAAGTCCGAAATTTTTTTTTCGCATAATAAAGTAAATTACATTAGCTTTAATTTAAGATATATATAAAAGTGTCAGACTTTCCGGAACACTTTCAAAATTTAAGTTGAAAAAGTTAATTTTTTGTGAAAAAGTTGTCATTTTGAATCCCCCCCTGTAGGCAGGTAAAAAGTCAGATTTATAAAAAAAATATACCAAATGATAGGTAAAGACATCATGCATCTACAAAAAAAAGAATTATATTGATCCATACATCTTTCGAGAAGTTATAGCATTATAAAGTTAAAAATATAAAAAAGAATTTTTTTACAAAAATCGTATTTTTTTTATTAAGTTTAATGTCTGTTTTCACCATGAAGATAAAATAAAGTCCGAAATTTTTTTTTTACCATAATACAGTATATTACATTAGCTTTAATTAAGATATATATAAAAGTGTCAGACCTTCCGGAACACTTTCAAAAGTTACGTTGAAAAAGTTCTACTTTCTATATGCATTTTTATGTTTTGAATCCCCCCTGTATTAAGGGAAATGGTTTGATTTAAAAAAAAAGTATGTCTAATTAAAGAGGTATATAAATACTACTCCTCATGAAAAATTTGTAATGATCCATACATTTTTCAAAAAGTTATAGCATAATAAAGTTAAAAATGTAAAATACAAAATCGAAAATTTTCAAACAAAAATAACATTTGGTAGCCATTTTCACTGTGAAGATAAAATAAAATTTTTTTTTTGCATAATAAAGAACATTACATTAGCTTTAATTTAAGATATATATAAAAGTGTCAGACCTTCCGGAACATTTTCAAAAGTTAAGTTGAAAAAGTTAATTTTTTGTGAAAAAGTAATCATTTTAAATCCCCTCCTGTGGGCAGGTTAAGTGTCAAATGTACAAAAAAAATATACCAAATAATAGGTAAAGACATTAAGCATATATAAAAAAGAATTATATTGATATGTTTATTTTTGAAAAAGTTATGGCACTTTTAAGTAAAAAAAATTGAAAAAATTTCGAAAATTAGCGATTTTTAAATTCGTAATTTTTTTGGAGGTTTCCCCCATTTACGGGGAACGAGGGAATTTTTTTCAATTTTCGAGGGTAACGTCTTCAACTAGATACAATTTGTGATCTTTTGACGTATCATTGAAAGCTATCGGTTCGGTGAGAGCTGAGAAAAAGTGGTAACAGACAAAAAAAAAAACACATCTTAGTAAAACCAATACCCACTCAGCTTCGCATCGAAGCTAATAATTGTTTTAAACTAAATATAGCATAAATAATAAAACCAGAAAATTTAAATGTGTGTTCGTACAACCACTCTAGATGTTTTGGTATGGATTGACCCAATTGTAAAATTTTTTTGTTAAATTCAAGTGAAACTAAAAATCATTTTTCTTAGAAATAATTTATATAGCATTGTGTCACAAAAAATTTGGAATATTATAGACTGGTACTAGGATACACAAATAGTTTGTATACACAATTATAGAATCTTTTTATACACCAAAAGTTACTTTGAAATAATATTTTTTAACAATATTTTTTTTTGTTTTAATTATTTTTGTATTATAATGAATCATTATAATAAAAATAGAAATAATTTCTTTGTATTTATTAGTGTTAAAATAGATGCTATAATTTACATATAAAAATAAAATGTTCATTAATTAATCTAGATTATTAAAGTGCAAATTTTTTTTAATGGGAAGTTAAATTACCTTTGTTTAATTATAATGTAATTAAACTTATTACAAAATGTACGTTTCCAAATAATCAAAAAAAACCTATAGAATTGGGGTCGCAGCATTGTATGGACGTAGTTGGGACAAGTATATATGATATCTGACATTGATTAAAATCACTATCATAAAAAATGCTTTGATACATATCTGTAGATAATACTTAATTCTAAGAAATTGAATCATAATTACAAAAGTAACATCAACTCCCTTAATATATCAAGATTAGTAGATATTTGATTTAAAAGTATAATATATGAATAAATACTAATTATAGTAATTAAAATTAATATGAAATATATATTTAAAAATTTAATATAGTAATTTTCATGAAGAAATAATAAAAAATTATAAAATAGTTGTATATTTCTTTACTTTTAACATGTATAAAAATAAAAAGGGCTTATTGTAATATTTTTCAGTAAAAACTGTTTGTTACTTATGAGTAAATATATTTTATTACAAGAAACATTCGTCAAATGTAAAAATATACTATTTTTTTTCAACTTTACGCGCTATTTTTGCAATTCTGCAATTGGACTTTTTTCATTGATTTTATTTTATTTCTAACTAGTAAATAATGAGTATTTACATATAAAAAATTATTAAAACAAAAAAAAATTTGTTTTCAAATGATTACTGATTTTGATTTTTAATATGTTAAAAATAATTACCGCAAAATGTCATTTTTAACCTTTTTTTTGGTCATTTAATATTGATTTTTGTAAGAGTTTATAGTAAAAAAAAATTGTATGTTACCATAACTTTTAGCTCAACTTCAAGTTTGAAATTTACAATATTTATTAAAAATTATATGAGAATTAAAAAAATGGTATTGTTAAGATTTCTATGCAGCAGGAAATGTTATAATTACTGTTTACAGTAAATCTATCAAGAAAAATACATTTTTTTGAATTTTTATCGTAATAGAGCACTTAAATAGATATCATCGTAATCATTTCTAAGTAACTTTTTGTGTTTCAAAAGATTCTACATTTGAAATATTCAGAACTTGATCAATTTTAGGTTTACTTTCACTAAAAAACCAATCAAAACGTTGTTAATAAATCTATTCAACTGATTGTATCATAAAATTTAATTATAATTTTAATCAATTTTAGAAAATAACTTTACTATAATAAAATCTAAGGCTGGTATACGGTGTATCATATATCTATTTTAATAATATTATATATGTTTTAC